GTCTCCACACAGCCTTCTCTTCTCCAGGCTGAACAGCCCCAACTTTCTCAGTCTGTCCTTATACTGGAGGTGCTCCAGCTCCCTGATCATCCTCGTGACCCTCCTCTGGACTTGTTCCAACAGTTCCATGTGCTTCTTATGCTGAAGACACCAGAACTGCACACAGTACTCCAGGTGAGGTCTCACAAGAGCAGAGTAGAGGGGCAGGATCACCTCCTTTGACCTGCTGGTCACGCTCCTTTTGATGCAGCCCAGGATACGGTTGGCTTTCTGGGCTGCAAGTGCACACTGAAGCCAGCTCATGTTTAGCTTCTCATTGACCAACACCCCCAAGTCCTTCTCCACAGGGCTGCTCTGAATCTCTTCTCTGCCCAACCTGTAGCTGTGCCTGGGATTGCTCCGACCCAGGTGTAGGACCTTGCACTTGGCATGGTTAAACTTCATAAGGTTGGCATCAGCCCACCTCACAAGTGTATCAAGGTCCCTCTGGATGGCATTCCTTCTCTCCAGCATATCAACCAAACCACACAGGTTGGTGTCATCAGCAAACTTGCTGAGGGCACACTCAATCCCACTGTCCATGTCTGCGACAAAGATGTTGAACAAGACCAGTCCCAGCACAGATCCCCAAGGGACACCCCTTGTTACTGGTCTCCAACTGGACATTGAGCCATTGACCACAACTCTTTGTGTGCGGCCATCCAGCCAGTTCTTTATCCACCGAGTGGTCCATCCATCAAATTGATGTCTCTCCAATTTAGAGACAAGGATGTCGTGTGGGACAGTGTCAAACACTTTACACAAGTCCAGGTAGATGACATCAACTGCTCTACCCCTGTCCATCAGTTCTGTAGCCCCATCATAGAAGGCCACCAGATTGGTTAGGCAGGATTTCCCCTTAGTGAAGCCATGCTGGATGTCACCAAGCACCTTGTTGTTTTTCATGTGCCTTAGCATGCCTTCCAGCAGAATCTGCTCCAAGATTTTGCCAGGCACAGAGGTGAGACTGACTGGTCTGTAGTTCCCCGGGTCATCCATTTTCACCTTCTTGAAAATGGGGGTTATATTTCCCTTTTTCCAGTCGTCAGGAACTTCACCTGACTGCCATGATTTCTCAAATATGATGGCCAGTGGCTTAGCAACTTCATTCACCAGCTCCTCCAGGACCTGCGGGTGGATTTCATCAGGTCCCATGGACTTGTGCGCATTCAGGTTCTTAAGATGGTCTTGAACAGGATCCTCTCCTACAGTGTGCCTAGGGTCTTCATTCTTCCAGTTCCTGCCTCTGCCTTCCAAGACTTGGGTGGTTTGGTCAGAGCCTTTGCCAGTGAAGACCGAGGCAAAGAAGTCATTAAGAACCTCAGCCTTTTCCAAATCCTTTGTAGCCAGTTCTCCTGAGAGCTTCCAGAGAAGGCCCACGTTGTCCTTACTCTGTCTTTTATTCACGATGTACCTATAGAATCCCTTCCTGTTTTCTTTCACATCCCTAGCCAAGTTTAATTCTAACTGGGCCTTAGCTTTCCTAACCTGGTCCCTAGCTTCCCGGACAACATCCCTGTATTCTTTCCAGGCTGCCTGTCCTTGCTTCCACCTTTTGTAAGCCTCTTTTTTCCCTCTAAGTTTCCTCAGCAATACCTTATCTATCCATGGAGGTCTCCTGGCCCTCCTGCTGCAGTTCCTTCTAGTTGGGACACAACACTCCTGAGCTTGTAGCAGGTGATCCTTGAATATCAACCAAGAGCCTTGGCCCCCCCTGCCCTGAAGCATCACATTTCCAGCCAGCCCCTCCCTGTTGGTGATCATGAGGTCAAGCATGGCACCTCTCCTTGTCTCTATTACTTGCAGAAGGAAGTTGTCTTTCCATAGTCTTCAGCCTCTCCCTAACATAAATAGCAACTCCCCTCCCCGTCTGCCGGGCCTGTCTTTCCTAAAGAGCCTGTAACCTTCCATTCCAACACTCCAGTCATAGGATCCATCCTGCCATGTTTCTGTGATACCAACTATATCATATCCCCGTAGACGTGCACACATCTCTAATTCCTCTTGTTTGTTCCCCATGCTACAGGCATTTGTATAGAGGCATCTTAGCCGAGCTCCAAATGAAGCCGGCTCATTGGCTGGAGTGGCTGGGTTATCTCTACATTGCTATGAGCATTTATTATAGGTGCTGGCAACTGACTGGGTGTGTTGAGATGGCATGATGCCCCCTTCCCCTAATACATCTAGTTTAAAGCTTTCTTCACCAGCCTGGCAAGCCTGCTACCAAAACTGCTCTTCCCTGTCAGCTACACCAGGCTCCAGGAGACCTGGCCTCCCAAATCGAGTCCCATCATCATCACCATCACTGTAGTAGAGCTGGTGACTGCTCATGGTTTCTTCCCTTATTGTTTCCAACAGCTGGAGCAATTTTATGCCATAGCTTTGTTATGGGTGAATTGTTCTTTCAGTTCTTTCCTATTCACTCTTATCCTTCAAACAGGTTTAGTCTGTGTTTTATGTCCTTGCACAGTACAAGGAGGAAGGTTCAAGCATGCACCACTGCTTCAGGCAGGACCTCTCAAGATCAAATCGATACTCTCATGGTTTTATGCAGTTGGCAGGAGCTCGCCAGTCTGGCAGCTGCCAACATCTGGGCAGCTCACCTGCCTTCCTCCCAGGTTGCTTTGTGCAGCACAACCACCAGAGAAGCTGCTGAGGAGGACATAAGCCTCAGGTGGGCCCTGGGTTTTGTTATCAGCGCAAAACACGTAATGAGCATTGACCTCCCTGCATAGTGAATTGGTTCTGGTGGCATTGTCAGAGCCTGCTTTGCTGCTAGGGAGCCTGTGACTACCATTGCAGATGAAACATCACTGGACAAAGTCTCATCTTCCCTTGCTTTAAGTTGAATATGACTGTAAAGTAAGCAGCCAGATCCAGCCCAAAACTCACTGCAATTGAGCATTTTTACCAGTTTTCATGAGGTTTTGGGGAATGAGTCCAGCCAAGGCAGAAGGCTTAAAACTACCTATCCCAACATTTCCTGGCCCAGAGTTTAGTAGATCTGTAGAAGTGGTTAAACTTCTGGATTGCCTTACACACTTGAACCCTTTCCTGAGTCTAGCAAGTTGACTGAAGCCTTTCTTAATTTTTAGTTTTTGAAGTCATCTACATGTAGGCCTTTTGTAGGTAAGGTCAGCATCCTGAGCCTAATGATAAATATAAAAATGAGAAAATTGCATATGCAACACCACTACATTACGGAGACCTATTTGTATGTTGCTATGACATAAAATAGTCTTTATTCCTGCATCTTAAACTGGAGTTGGGATATTTGAAATATAATAATTTCTTGGGTTAGGGAGACAGCTGCTCTGTTCTTCCTTCCTTAGCAACACGAGGCCACAGGAGGAGGTCAAAAGATTATTCTTTTTTCATTATTCTTTATTCAATTCTTCAGTGGAAATGGACAGTCTTTTTATTGAATCCATGTATTTCATTGCTGCTGATGGGAAGCTGGTTTGTGTCCCACAAGGAGTTAGAGAACTTTGGATGTTCTCCTTTTTACTGGCGTTTAAGGCTTCCTCAGGGGAAGGATGGTGCACAAGTCTGCTAGAGATCCTTTCTTACTGCTGCAGACTCCACTCGATGTACTTCGATACATGGGGGTGACAGAATGAGCATCCTCCATCCTTACCTGCATGGGAAAGCTCAGCACAGTGCATCTTGCTGGGAAGGATTTTTTCCTTGGCTCAGAATATCTGTGGTACCTCCATCACTGGACCTCTTGTTTAAGGTGGATTGCTTCTGCTTCACCTACAAATTGCACTGTGACAAGTGATGGAGCATCCTGGTGCAGTGGCAGTTTTGCTGCAGATAAATGCTGAGAAACTTCCAAGCCACTCAATTTCTATGCCATGATAGCTGTGGAACATTTTCTGATGTAAGCTTTTAAACTCTCTACCTGGTGGCAGGGAGATGAGTTGGATACAAGTAATCTCAACCTGTCTCTCTCTGGTTATCAGCCTCTGTCAGTTGATTGAATTTGGGCAGGGTAGAGCAGTATTGCAGTGATGGCTGTAATCACCTTGAATTACCCTGGTTTCACCCCTGAGGAGACAGTGTTCCGTTTTTCTTTTCCCCTAGAGCAATTTCCAAGTTCAGCCCCTTAAGACTGAGCTGAAAAGACTCACTTTCAGGAGAGATGGCGCTGCTCCTGGGGTGCCCGTCCCTCTCTGTGTGGCCACTCACTCCATCTGTCTCATCAATAGATTTTCCCTCCTGGAAGCCAAATGCTGCCTGCAGGCCCCCTCAGATCGATGCTGCTGTGCAAATGAGGGAAAATGAAAGCAAGAAGCAGAGGTTTGACTCCAGGCACTGAAGGCAATTGTCGTATTTTTTTCTTCAACACCCGAGTGGGAGTTGGCTGGGATCTGTCAGGCTGCAAGTTCTCACATATTGGGTAAATATTTGCGGTCTGATTCACCACTGAATCACTCCGTTATTTTTTTGGCCCTGTTCAGGGAAACTGCTTTGTCACTGGGATAACACCAGCTCTCTGAGGCCCTCTCACCTTCATATTTTAGCACCTCATTGTCATGTGTGCCTGTCCTCACAGTGACATCAGGATGGGGAGATGGTGTCGTCCCTTCCTGGCAGAGGAAATCAGAGGCACACTGGTCACAGGCACCTGAGTTTTCTCTGACACTAAGCCCAAAACTGGTGGAAAGCTCCAGCTGTCAGCTGGTGAGACCTCAGTGTGATGCTAAAGTGTCCATGCATAGCATAAGGTGGTACACATGCAGTATCACACCCTCTCTCATGGGATTTGCCATGTTTTAGGTGCCCCTTGGTGAATGGAGGTCATAACCAGCTCCTGCTGCTACATGGTAGTCATACAATAGCTGCACTGCTTGTCTTGCTATACCTGGAAGAGCTTCTGGGGGAACGCAAGAGTGTTTTTCCCTCCAGAGACAACTGTGCCAGTGTTTTGTGTGTACAGATCTCTTCTTTCATTGCAGGTGGAAGAGAGTATGATGGATGTGTATGATCTTGTGTATGAGGAGGTGAGGAGGAATGCCTCCAGCTTCAGGAGGCACGAGCTGACTGCCATCCACAAAGCAGTAAGTTGTTTTTCTCAGCCTTAGCAGAAAACCTTGCCCTAGGGTATCTTCCCAAGGTTTCAGCAGGCTGAGTCTGATGCCTGTGTTCTGCCTCGTGGATGCTGCAGTCTCATTTTCCCTCAGGAGTAGAGTACTCCAGCCTGCTAAGAAGTCTGCTCCTCCCTTCCTACTCTTCCTCTCCAAGGTCTGACCAACCAGATTACCAACAGGAGGAGAGGGCCACGTCCCTGAGCATCATTCATATGTGAGATCATCAGCACTTCTGCACAGTAGCTGTTATACATATTGTCTGTCTAAGCAGGCCCTCTGCTGTGTTCCCTATCTGTAGTACAAGAAAGTGGACATACACCTCTTGTGTCCCTGGACAGGCAAAGAGAGGGAGAGAATTCCACATTGTGTGGCAGAAGCATTTGGACTTGGTTATTTCTGTTTATCCTTGAGCCTATGACTGAGGAGTACTGGAGGCTACCAGGCCTCTTGCAATCCTGGAGACTGCTAGCAAGCTCCCAAAACCTACCACCCAGGATGCTGTTGGGGCAGGGGACTTCTCTTTAGCTTGGTAGGTGGGCAAGGGTGGTGACCCAGAGCACAGGGAGGATGTTTGCCCTCAAAGCCACAGGAAATGAGGGTGTCCCCCGTGGTGAGAAACTCCTGAGTTCCTGCTAAGTAAAGGAGATGCTGTTCCATCCACCTCCCACTCAACTCCCTTTATCCTCCTGTGTTTTATTAAATCATTGTAACAAGTACTTTCTGAAGCTGTTTTCATCCATGCTTCTCAAAACATAGAAAAGGCAAATGTTTCTCATTGCGATGATGGTGGTGGCCCTCAGCCATGACCAGCCAGAGTGGTGCTTGCTCTGCAGACTTTTGGAGCAGTACACCCAGAGTCCTGCTTGTCAAGGAGAACCAGGCACAATACCCAGCTTTATCAGTTCATCAGTTGCTCATTTTAGCTACTTTAATTGATGGAGAAACAGTCCCTCTACTTCCATGGGCATCCCCTTGCTAGAGCTCCAAGCTGGCCAGTTCACCCCAGCTATAGGAAGCCATTTCCATAGTGGGTGTTGCTGGGGATCCTCCCAGCCCATAACAAACACTGGGGTCCTTGCATCCCTCGGTTTTCCGGACTAGACACTGTGAGAGCTGGTGTGACCATGGAGGGAGGGCTTGGCCACAGCCTCAGGCAGCAGTCCTGGAAAAGCATAGGCAAATTTGGGGCAAGATCCATGTGCGTCCTCTGAATTTAACCTCCATTGCTGTAGTTGTTGATTGCATACCTACATGCTTCGCTCCTTGCAGCCCTGCTTGTATAGCCCTGCCTGTGGCAGCAGGGGAGAAGTGTGGCCCATCACTGATGCCTTCTGCTGTGTCAGCTGGTGGCAAGGAGAGAGCTCCGGTGTGTGGCTGGCAGATCTCTCCATCTTTTTCCAGTTCCTGTGCTGTGGGAAGCATTCTCCTTTTGGGGACACAACCAACATTGACAGCAAGACATGCCCACCTGGCCAGGCAAATGATGCCGGACAGGTAAGGGAAAGGTTTCCTCATCCACACAGTGGGGCTGTGCTGCTACTCAGTAACTGTTAATGACAACTGTGGCTTTTCCACAGTTTGGGGTTACTTTGGTTGGGGGTTAGTTGTGGTGGGGTTTTGTTGTTTCAGTAAGGAGGAGCCCCAGTGGATCACAGGTGTCAGACTCACAGATGTGGTTTCTTTTGCAGCTCTAGAAACCCTTCAAAATGCCTGTGTTTACAGCCTGTCACCTCCCTCCAGCTTTCTCTTCATCTCCTGCATATGCAGAGTGTGAGATATCATGGCATATGTCTGAGCTCACATGTTGGACTTTTCCACTTGACACTACTTTCTGAGGCTTCAGAAGTGTCACACTAACAATAAATGTGGAATTTTCTGTAATTGCTTTTTCCCAGGCATTAAATAAGTACTAAAATGAGCACCTCATGAAGCAGAGTGATGATGCCCAGCAGTAGCGTCATCAAGTATATTTCATTCCTCCTCTTTTCAGTAGCTCAGTGAGGTTGATGGAGAAGCCACCAGTATTAGACTGCCTCTGTGCTGAAGCCGTAACATAGACTTCATACTCTCTGAGCAAAGTTCATCATCTCTGATGTTTTTTCTTCCACAGGAGTAGCCAAATCAGCTGAAGTAGCTGAAGTTTCCAGCATCAATATGTGTGTTGATGGAAAACAAAACCGTTTTGCTACAGCTATACAAAAACTTTGCTAGGCAAAGATGTCACACGCTAACAGGACACCATGATGCGCAGGCACGCATCAGCCAGTGGCGCAGCCTCTCAAAGCACTGCATCCAGGAAGCAGGGGCAGAATAGACCAAAGAGCTCAAAGAGCAGAAAGGGAGGGAAGAGTTAAACCAGGCACTATGTGGGTGACTGTTCCCCTCCTTCCCCCCCCCCCCCCCCAAGTTTTGTGTTCCCTCTGGTAGCGAGCCAGGGGAGGTAGGCTAGGGGGATGCATTTTGCAACCCAGAGAACCACAGTGCTTGGTAGCTGCGCTGCATTCACTCCTGGCTTTGCGTGCTCTTACTTCACTCTGCAAATCACTTAATCAAGGGCAGGCTCTTGCGTTTTTTAAATGGCTCTCTTAGCTAACACCTCCTGGATTTCCGTGGGGCTGCTGGCATGCTTAAAGCTAATGTATATTAATACTTGCGAAACCTTGCAAAATTGAGCAGTTCATTAGTGTCTTTGAGGAGTGTATTTAGCATTACAGTGTGCTCTGCTTTTCTGTCTTGTCTTTTCCCTCTTTTCATTTTCCAGTGGTTGGAAACAAAAGGAAGTTTGCATGACCACACTTACCCGTACATGCACAAATCCCCCACAGTCTGAAACACATCATACCAAGGAAATTGTAGGTGTATTGTAGCAATAGGAAATACACTGCAGATGATTGTCTTCCCATGTTGCAGCCAGCAGCAGGATAAAGGAGAGCTGATCACACAGCAGCCCATTTGTGCAATGCTGCATCCTCCTCTTGTTTCCTTTTCTATCCTGGCTTGTGGCAAGTGTTCTTTGCGGGGACAAAGCCCCACAGCTGAGCTGCTGCTGCACTGCAAAGGGTCTCTCTCTCCCTAGGACTGCCTCCGAGAGATCCAGTTCTTCCTGAAGAAGCACATGGACTTTGTCACCACACTCCTGGGCATCACCATTGGCTTCACGGTATCTGTTTGTTCCTTCTCACTTTGGCCCCAGGAGGCAGGCTCCAGCATGGAAACATATCCTAAATTAGCCCCCAGAAGCTAGAATTTTGGGTAATTTTGGAGACTGGGGTAGAGAAACAAGCAGTGGTGGACTGCCCTGTGGAAATTATGAAAGGGCCAGGACCTGTCTTATTCAGGCTGATGGATGGAGGTTTTCTCCTGCAGGAATAGCCTTGCTGCCTGTTTTTTCTGACCAAACCAGGCATGACAGGTGGGACTGGGGAGCAGCGGGAGCTGGCATTTCACCCACCCAGGTTTGCCTGTGCATCCTCTCCTGCAAGTGAGATGCTGTGTCACCTGGCGCAGGGCTTGCAGATGAGGTTGGAAGCCGGCAGTAGTTATGGAAAAGGAGATGCAGTAAAAGCTCTGTATTAGGAAACTTGCTGCCTCTCCTTGCCCAGCACTCACTGGCTGCCTCCCAGCTCAGCTCGGGAAGTCACTTTGTTTGACCAGAGCTGGAAGGTCTTTAAAGCTGCTGAGCACCAATAGTGGAGCTGGAGAGTTGTGTGGGAAGGGAAGGTCTCATCCTCTTAATGACCACTAATAAGCCCAGGAAGGTGCATCTTGGGCAGTGGGTGGGTAAAGCACAGGCTTGTAAGGAGCAGAGGAGAGTAGCATGGGCTCCCAGGTACCGTCTTTGAAATAGGATCTTGCAGAGGAGGGGTAGGATGATTTGGGTAGAAAGGGTCTGTACTGAATTTCTGAGTCTTATTTGGGGGAAGACAAAAGGAAAAATGAGATACTGCAAGAGGAACATGTCCTTAGGTGGTGAGGGAGCTCGATGGCCGCATGGGGAATGTCCCTTCAGAGCTGGAGAGTGCTAATTAAAACAAGCCTGCTTGCATGCTTGGCAGAGGTGTATTGCTGTAATTGCCTCTACACAGGGGCCCTGCATGTGTGTTGAAGCACACCAGAAAAAAGTACATACCAAGAGATTTGTTTCTTCACTAAGAAGGGAGATTCGGGCTGCTGTGGTATCTCCATGCTGCTCTCCAGCTGGGGCAACCTTTCCTGCCTGATTTGTTTAATTCCTTCTGTCTGCCTTGGCACAATTATGAGTTAGAAGACTTTTCTTCATCTAAATAAAGCCCAGAGGAACAAGCATTTTTGTGTTTTATACTCCTAGTAGTAAATTAGGAAAACCATCAGGCATTGCTATGGCTCTATAAATGTAAAGTCATGTGTGAATACATGGTGTCACTTTCTAATTTTTCTCAGGTATAGGAGGAATTTCACTGCAGCTATATTCAGACAAAAGTGGGAGCGGGTTTTATTATATATATCTCTTTTTCACAGCTTGATGCCATAGCCATATAAGGCAGCTCTCTTTAAAGTGTGTCCTAGAGGAAGTCTCACTGCACAGTTCACTATTGTGATGGCAGGATGCAAGGGAGGCATGCAACAAGGACTATAACTGCTCTGATGTCACTATTCCTCAGCCAACAATGCATACGTGGCCCCATATCAATCCACAAGCAAAGGCACTTGCATGTTAAGGCAGAGGCTTTGGGGGAAAAGCACATTGTTTATCCTTCCGACAGCAGCCTTACCTTTGATATGTTGCCTGTGTAATCCTGGTTTGTGATATATTAGGGAGAATGTTAAAATACAGAGGAAATGTACTGTCCTTTGCCTTCTCAAGTGTGCACGTGCGTGGGGTGGGGGTTGGACTTTAAGGTTTTTTTTTTGTTTTGTTTTGTTGGGATTTTTTTACCCCAAACAATACATGAGGACTGTTTGGGTTTTTTGTTATGGTTTGGTTTGGTTTGGTTGTTTCTCCCTATGTTCTCTTTACAAAAGGATGTTATTAAGAGAGAGATCTGTTTGTTTGCATAGAGAAATGTTTTGTGGTTAGAATTTGAAATCTGAATTTCCTGGTTTCATCTCATTTCTTGGTATTTTCAGGGCCAGGTTTGAGCTGTACTGTGCTAATTCTTATCAGATGCTTTTTAGCCACATGTTGGTCTTTCTTTTTATTTTTTTTCTTCCTCTTCCCCTCCAATTGGTGCTCACCATTCTACCAGAAAACAGCTCTCAAGAAAAATGTTACATCCCAATACATAAATTCAGAAGTGCCAAGTGGACTAATAGGCAGCACTTATGATAGCTTATTTGCACAAGTAGAACATCATAATCAGTTCAGCATTTAATTGTGTGCCCATCTCATGTATTTCCTTTTAGGTTTATGGAATGATCTTGACTTCATTCCTCTGGTTCTCCATCCACTTCAGCAGCAACCTGGATAGGAAAGGAAAATACATTCTGCGAGAGAGGTAGAAATCCATCACCTGGGCATCCCCACCAGGCAGAGCCAGATTTTGCACAGGAAGATGTCTGAAGTCACACACAGAATCCCCTGGGAAGGCTTTACATGGGTTCAGGCAGCGGGGTGTGTGTGTCATGCATTTCCCCTTCCTGCACTACTAGCTGTTGTGTGTTTCTGAGCTGGTCAGAGCAGATGGTGCTCTGAGGAGGAGCAGTGCCACACCTTCGCCAAAAATGAACAAGGCCTGAGACGCACTGGAGGACTGAGAAACTGGAGCAGGTTGCCCAGAGAAGCTGTGGCTGCCCCATCCCTGGCAGTGTTCAAGGCCAGGTTGGATGGGGCTTGGTGCAACCTGGTCAAGTGGAAGGTGTCCCTGCCAGTGGCAGCGTGGTTAGAACGAGATGAACTTTAAGGTCACTTCCAACCCAGACTGTTCTGTGATTCTATGATGCACCTAGGCTTGGAGATGCAGATCAGCTCACCAGGAGACATAGGGGCTGTAGCTCCACAAACAGGACACAAAGAGCCCCTTAAGACAAAGATGGAGAGAAAAGCCCAGCAAAAATCACAGCATTAAACCAAACTTCTCTTGTGCTGTCATCTGAGCATTCCCTGTGACCCCCAAAGATGTAATATTTCTAGGAAGATGGCTTTGGATCACAGCCTGGGATAATCTTGGACCATTGGCAAATATATGGACACAAGGTGTGTCACTGGTGATGGGAAATGTGTTCTTGTAGCTTGGACGCTCATATTGATTGACTTTGGGCATGTTTCTGATCATGCTCAAGTATGTAGGAAGCCAATGACTGTCAGCTGTTTTTCCCCTGTTTTCAAATATTGCCAGACTTACACCAGCTACCAGCTTTTGGTAGAGATCAGGAAAAAAATCAGAAAAACAGTGCATGAGCTTTGAAACAAATAACCAGCAAACAGACGCTCTTATTCCTCTTTATTAATGCAATACACCATGATTTTTTAATTCCTAGCACGTAGTCAACCTCCTAGAGCTTGATGCCACACTGTTTTCACAGGGGCTTGTTCAACTTCTATCCTTAGCTCTGTGTTTATCTAGCTTCACTAACCCACAACACTGCTGTGCAATACAAAAGGACTTTGATATTACACATACACGCAGGTCTGAAGTTTAAATCTATAAAAGAACAGGACTGATCTTCAGCCAGGTCAAACAATACAATGTCCAACTCCATGTCCTCTCTTTACATCATCACCTTATCAATAATAAACAGAAATTTTAAAAGCCTCCATCAGCACTCAGTCTAGCTCAAGTGATGGCTCTCTGGTGTGCTTTGCCCTCATTGCAAGGAGGCAGAGCCACCTCTGAGCTGAAACTCATCATTGCAATAGATTTAGCACGTGCTGGAAAACCTGCTGTAAACTGTATGGCTATGTGCAATGTCTTGAACCAACAACAGCTTTCACCCCTCTCCTTTGTTGTGGCTTTTAGCCATGAGAAACAGTAAGTAGCAATTGTTTATTGAGATAAATGTGGAAATCCCTGTGATGAAGTTCAGGACAGGTCCTGTCCCTCAGGCAGGAGCTGCTACACATACAAGAATAGCAGTACAGCCTACAGCACCTGGCTAGTATTTTAACATGGCTGCAATTACCTTGTGTTGGAAGGAATTGTGCTGGGGGGGAGGCTATCACTCCTCGTTCCGCTCCTGTGGAACCAGTGGAGCTTCACCGTTGACTTCACTGTAAAAAGCATGAAGTTCAAACTGCTCCAGAATGTTACTCAAACTACCTTGTAGCAGTCACCAACACGCCCCAGTCTAGCAGGGATTTAGAGGTTGTATACACTTGCCAACATACCCACATTCTAGTTTATTTCTCTCCAGTGCCAGACAATCTCCCTTGTGAGCTCCAGCTGCTATTGTCCAGGCCACCACTATTGTTATTCCTTAGCCCAGCTGGCAGCTTGTGTGACTCATGGTTGCTTCAATAAAGATGAATTTCTTGCAGAAGGCCATCATTCCTTCTCTTTTTCTGCTGTGCACGAGGCTGCCTGCATTGCTCAGGGTTTGCGTCATGCAGAGCCCTCAGTAATTCTTTCAGTGCTGGGAAGAGATATTCCCCAGGCAGCTGGTGCTCGCCTGCCCCAGCAGCATGCCTTAGCACCCAAGAGCGAGAGGATGGCATTGGTCCTTTGGAGGAAAATGAGCTCTTCATCAGCCTGATCCTGCCCTTGGCTATCTGCTGGCGCAGCAGGCAGGTGCTTTATGAGGACTAATGCAAGCAGAGGCAGGAAAAAAGCTTAAGGACACAAGCAATTGAGACTGGAGTATTTATATAAAAGAAATCTCTACAGTTTCACTTTTTTAAACACTGTAGTCAGCTCTTGCCCATCACTCTGTGTTGGCTGGACACCTGATGACATTCTACACTGGAAATCAAGCAAATCAGTGTAGTCTGTGTTACTGGTGTGGGTTACCTGCTTAAGCCGTATCAACAAGGAGAAGAAATCTTTGTTAAAGCTTCACCACCAGGTCTGCTGAAAGCTTTAGGTGTTGAGATCACTATAGACAGGCATAGCATACATATGATAAAGTAAACCTGAAAGGCTATTGTATCCCCCCTCCCTCAGCTCTCTCTTCCGTTGAATTGTTTATGATCTGTGAAATGTCACCGGAAGCAGCAGACAGACACCTCTCTAGCAGTGACCATGTAATGGTGTGTGTGCATAGCTGCTGTTTTTACACCTCTGTAATGATTTCTGGTGCTTGCGGCAGGGATGAGAACGCAACCTGCACCAAACCATCTCACAAAGGGAATAATGAACCTGGAGAGTTGTTGGTTCTTCTTCCCAGGCATCAGCAGACTGGGAGCATGCAATTTTTGTCCCAGGGAGCTGGAAGTTCCCTTTCTTCTTCTGACACCCAACTAGCTGGTCATCTCATGATCTGTATTGCCGTTCCACCCACCACTGGAGTTCCCTAGCAAGGAGCAGCACTTTTAATGAGCAGCCACCTGGCCATACACACTCTCCTACCAGAGCTCGTGCTGTGTGTAGCACAGAAAATGGCATCTTGCTGTTGTTTTAAGGAGCAGGAATGTGGATATCTTCAACTTCTTTGTTTTTAAAAACCTAGTGCAGAAGAGTGCAGTTACCCTTTTGTTTGCAGTTGTAGAAATGGCAGCACCCAGGGGATGGCTGGAGGGGTGCTGCAAAGCTGGGGTGAGGGGAGGGGGAGTTGAACAGGTTTCTTTACACCTCTGCCAACAAAACATCCCTGTCCTGCAGTCAGTGTGCTTGCACTCTTTAGTCCTTAATTTGCTGCTTGCTATGGGCAAATTATAGGTCTTGTGCAGCCAGAGCAAAACTCCAGGAACCTCTTGGTAAGTATTGCTGAGATTGACCCAGTGTTGAGAAGAGTGAGAGAGGTTTTACTGGGATAAGAGCTTGGAAGCAAGCAGAGGGGATGCAAAGCCAGCAGCCAGGCTAGGAAACACCTGCAGAGCCAGTGAGCCTTACTGGGGCTTGCAGAAGCAGAAGCTGGTTGTTACAAGCATGTCAACACTCAAACTCTGGTAGGAAAAAAATCCCTATTTATGTAGGCATATGCAGGAAGAGAAAAAAAAAACCAACCTGGAGACCAAAGGTGCGAAGTTAAATATTTAACTGTGAATTGGCTCCAATTAATTGTCAGTTAAGCCCCAACAATCATCTACTGGTTCCACCAAGTTTACCTGAGCAGTTGCAGTTTGGCCTCTGTATAGGTAGGCATTACCTTGTGTGCATGAGTTATTCTCTTGTTTTAGACAAACCCCCAGCTGTAGCTGAGGACTTGGGAAGAGGAAGCAGACTAAGGGCAGGCAATTACCTACAGGGCTGGGGAACATCAGCCATGGCAGTGGTAAGAAGCCTTTTGTGCTGCTCTCCAACCTTGCTGCCCATGCACCGCTCCAGACCTGCTCTGCCAGCATGAGCATTAACTTCCCCTGGGGCTTTACGTGGGGCTTACTGCGTGCCCATGGGTGGCCTGACCACAGCTTGCCTATGAGACAGAGGACCTCTCTCAGAGCCTGCTCCGACAGCAGCAGATGCTGTTTTCCAAGGTACTGCTCATGGAGAACTGCAGGTGAGCATGGTGCAGCTTTACGCAGCAGCAAAGGATGTTCAGCACTTCTGCAAAGCAGATGTTTCAGTACCTGACAAAACCTTGTGAAAAGCAAAGATTAAGCAGTTTGCTGACTCTCTAGAGGGATTTGATGGTAAGGAGAGTGGGAATCGTTCAGCCTCACGGTGTGCTGCCTTGGCTCCAAAATATTTTGCTATTTTCTGCCATACTGTCTGTGTGTCAACTGCCAGTTCCACTGCTATCGAGATACAACCTTCTCATGCAACAGTCCCTTTGCGGCACAACTCTCATGTCTGCAGCAAGCTCCTAAAGGAGATGCCACTGAGCAAGTTCTGTGTAAGTAAGCATTGTAGGTTGGCAAACTTGGGTGGATCTTTGCTGTGCTGGGGTGGTGAGGAAACCATCTCCAGCCAAGGTAAAGCTGCATTTCCGAGCTGCAGATATACAGGATATTTTCTGAAAAAAAAAAGAGTTGCTAGATATGTATTTTCAACAGGTGCAGAAGCAATTTGTTTGCAAAAGCAGCTGGCTATAATTCTGCTCCAAAATTACAGCCAGAAGTGATAGATGCTCCACGCATGAGAACTCCACCAGCACAGCTGAAGGCAGGTGAGGTCAGAAGCTGCTTTGAATACACGGTTGCATCACACGTGACGTGTCATTGCAATTCTCTTTGAGTAAAATGCTGTAGTAGGGTGAAAAGAGATTTTTCTTTTCCTTACCTGTGTAGTTCCTCTTCTGGGGGAGTGAGCAACCAGCAGCGAGCATCAACCTTGTCCACTGGGAAATGTAGCAGTGGGTGGCATGAAGGGGGAGATTGCAGGAGAGAGGAGGGGGGAACCCCAGAGCAGCCTCCGAGGCGGTTTTGCTAGAATGCAGGCAGTGTGTGTTTTGCAGCTTTCAGCCTCAGCTGCCAAACCGGTGACTGGCTGCAGGCCTGACGGTGGTGAGGCTGCTCCACTGCACTCCATGCCGAACATCTCACCCCCACCACAAACCCAGTGCTATCTTTAGTCACGTGGCATTTTGGGGGTCCACCATATACATTAGTGCCTGGAGGCAATCTGCATATCTACCCCTTCTTGGAGGGTAGTGATGAAAAAGAAACCCATCTCTTTATGTGGAAGACATACAGGGCTGTTGCTCAGCTTGTAAGGAATCATCAGCACATCTTGGAAGAAATACTTTCACACGAGCCAAGAGGTGCTTACCCACAGCTAATACCCTCCTGTCTAAGCAGATGCCATTCCCTTAGGCTTCAGCAAGTGAAAAGGAAAGATCCTTCCCGACATTCTTGCCAGGAAGATGCATATCCCTGTGTCACTCTCCCTGGAGTCACTGGCAGCCATCCGGCTGGGTTGTTTATGTTATCCCAAGGCAAAATCCCCCCTTTCTCCCTTCAGCATCACCCAGTGCTATTGTTTAACCCCCATGTGCACCAGCGTGCTCATGGATGGGCTCACTTTCTTTTTAGCCCTGTTGGATCAGCAATAAGCTATTCCAGTCTTTATTCACCTACTAATGAATTATACATTGATTATACAATAGAAGCTCTCTACATTGATGGGCTGGGCTCTTGTTCTCCCACATGGCATCTTGCAAAGCGCAGCTAAGCCCAGCTGCAGGTCAGCCCTCTCTGATGCCCTGAGAAAAATGAATGTTCACTGAGCGGGCTCATGAGCTGAGGAGAGGGAGTGTGTCTGCACAGGATAAACTCATTTGGGTTTGCCCTTCCTCGGCCGTAACTCCAGTGGGAGTCAATGCTGTTCTTCCTCACCACCCTCCCCTTCCTTGTCCTCCTTATATAACCTAACCCATCACCATAGATACGTTGACATAAATATTTAAAGATGGCAGAGAGACAGACCATGCAGACAAGAACCATTTGTTGAGTTTATTAGAAGCAGTAACTTCAGGCACTGCTTGTTTCACTGCCTCCCAAAGGCTGCCAGGCAGATACAACCACCCCAGGCTATCACCGTGCTTCAGCTGAATTTGCAGAGCAGGGCACAAGGAGTTTTGGATGAGCAGGTGCCAGCTGCTCCTGCTGGGGTACACAAAAGGTCTTCTGGAGATGTCCCCCTAGATACACAGATGAGATTCTTGACATGATTTTTCCTACTCAAAATGAGGCCATTGGCTGGCTGCCCAAAGGTGAAGGCAAACCTCTTCTGGGGTGATGGAGATCCACCTTCCCACTGCCATGCACTTGTTCAGGTCTCTGCTTTGAAAATAAGTATGGCAGGGTGTCGGCTGCCTCCGAAGTTACTCTTACGTGCTCTGGGACTATTATCCTCCTGCAGGATGAATTCCTGAGGTTCTTTCACGTACCTCCAAATGTCCTATTTAAGGATTTTTGGTGATGCTGCTGTTGTTTCAGTTTTTTTTTTTTTTTTACCAGCACAGGTAAATTGTAAATCTAGGCTATTTCTGTCTTATTTGCCACAGAAAATAAGATGCAGTGGTTAAAAGCTAACTAGGACCTCACCCACAAAATTACATGTGTTTTATTCTCATGGTTTGTATATCATTTTTGTGCTGGCTGTGAGGAGGGCAGGGGGATTGCCATGCAAGCCCAAACCATGCAACCAGATAACCACATCAGCAGCCATCCCGCAATCCTCAGTGGATGAGGGACTCCTCTCTACTTTACAAAATCTCCTGGAGACGCTGGGTGTTAGGTGTTTAGAGCCTCCCTCCATGCTAATCCTTCCATAGCCTCGTTACCAGCTCCCCAGGAACTCATACGAGGTGGGGAGGATGTGGGTCTGTTCTCTCCCCTCATCCCCCTCCATCACTTTTATACAACACAAAGTTCTTTTGTGGAATGGAGCTGCTGGAAGGCTGCAGGCATCTCCCTGGGAGAAGCAGGATCAAAATACCAGGGACTGAGTTTGCAGAGTCCTGCTGGTAAGGGGCAGCCTGCTAAATCCAGGGCTGGGAGGAGGCTCAAGCCACCTGCTTTAACAGACCCTGGTGACTCCTGCCCATAGGGTCAGCTATCCCCAAACCCACAGGCATCACAACTGACCTATAAACAAGTTCACAAAAACACCAACAACACAAGCCCAACAGACAGAGGAAAACCACTGCAAGCACCTCCATTTTCTGCTGCTTCACTGTCTGCAAACCCAATTGCAAAAGCAAATTCAAATGGGCAGAGGAATTCTATTTGGGGTATGGGGTTTTGTTTTGTTTTTTACTTTTTTAGTGTTTATTTTTCAGCACACAAGTCTTGCAGGTAGGTAGCTTTTTCACAGACCTGCCTGCAGCTGCCTGCTCTGCAAAGAATTGTGCATTAGCATGGTGCATTGCTGAGCCCTTGAACCAAGCCCATACTCCCAAAGATGGAAGTCATCAGCCCTATTCATAGCGCTTACACTTGATACCTGTGTGTGACATCGATACCTGAACTGAATGTGTGCAAATTAGTTTTACTTATTTATACAGCAGCATTTTATAAAGAGCTGATAAAGCCACTGAGAGTCTTTGAAATGCAGTTTTGGTACTTTATGGACTGTACAGCAAGTAGTACAGCATGAGAAATGAAAATCCAACACCTGAAATCACACATAATCTGGGGAAACAGTATGTATTATCTTGACACTGTTATCACAGTGGTAGTTATTTTCTTCCTGTACATCGAGGTCAAAGTTTTCAAAGGTACCCAGCTGAGCTCCTAAAATAAATAAATAATAATAAAAACAACCCTAAACAAAGCAAACAAAAAGATGTTTGGACAAATCTAGAAATCCTTTTCCACTTCCAAGTTTTGGAGAGGACTTCCTTTGTACAGCCAGATGGGTGAGCCCAGTTTATACCCAGTAAGTTTAGCCTGTAACTGGGAGCTTCTTGATGCAGGAGATGGTGGGGCTGTGCCCCTGCTCTCCCTGTCAGAGCCACATTCGTGCCTCAGCTCTGTGCAGGATGGGCTCCAACACAGCCCAAAGGAAAGTCCCAGAAACAGGTCTGTGTTAGCTCCAAACCAGATTGTTTGCTAATACAGTTTTTGGAGGGTATGAAAATGTTTATTTCTTGGTTTCCATTTTCCTTCATTTCCCAGCATAAGAGAAAAAAAGGCAGAAAGCAGGAAAAGAGAAGCAACAGTGACAAAAAAGAAACAACAATGAAGCAATCCCAAACTCCCCAGAAGCAGATTCAATGCCAAATTCGTGGCAGTGATTGCATCTGGGGTTGCCTGCTCTCCAGTGCACAGAAGTTGATTTGAGTCATATTCCTTCACAGCCGTGGGGCTGCTGCTGCTGAAGGTCTTATCGGTTTGCAGCTGGTTCCTTCCTCTCCCTCACACAGACTCTCCAAGCAGTGCCTCTGAGAGTTTTTCTGGAAACTAATGCATGACGGGCTCTGTGATTCATGCAGCCACCTATCTTCAGTGTCTGTGTAGGGTTGGGGGGTATTTTCATTTTGATATTTATAGCTGGACAGGATGAAGATGCAGAAAAGAAAATGTTGTGGGATGCTATGATGTAGCAAGTGAACAACTTCAGGATCCTGCTGTTATCCTTTGGATCAATGAGCAGGAGACACACAGGATTGTGGCTATTGCCACAACCAGATGGGTCGTACTGATAATTTGGAGTAGCAGTTACGTGCATAAATAGCCTCATGAGCCTCCAACTTCTTTGGTAAGGCTGGATGAGTGAATGTGGCTTAGAGACAAAGGGTTTATGCATCCATGGCAAGCCCGCAATCCAGGATGCACTCAGCATAAGTAATTGGAGAATGGGGCCAACTTCTATTCATTCCCGGTCCTTGCCACCATGGAGCATCGTGGGCTGTTACTGCAGGGGCAAAGAAGGGTTTGATGAACACGACAGAGCTCTAGACCAACTCATCCTTAAGGACAATGGGAAGATTTCGGAACAAGTTGACTAATTTTCAGCATACATGTGTAGGAAATGCGTGCTTCGCTAACAGCACATTCCTGCCAATGGGATGCATGGCAGGGAAGACTCCATTGTGTGTGAAAATGTTTGGCTCAGAAGCTTTCGCTAGAGGCACGTGCCCAGGCAGAAAGAGGGCAGGTTTCCACATATAACACTGCAGGCAGGCACTGAGTTCATATTTAGCACGGTAAGGTCCTGAGCTTTGATGGAGGTGCGAGCTGCTGCCTTTACCAGAACTCCTCTTACACTCTGATTATGTGACTTAACTAGCCTGCCCCTCCCTGAAAGAAGTGAATGTACTTGCTGGGATGATAGCAGTTTATATTTCTAGGGATGAGCAAGTGGGTCAAGGTAGGTTTTGGCCAAAAGCTTGGGAAATTTCATCATGTTGCTGTTGCACAACTTTGTTTTTTTCTTAACTAAAATCTAAGATTTCTAAGCCATAATGTGAGGCTTACTTGCACTATTGACATGTGTGACCTCTTTGCTGGGCAGCCCTGAAGCCCCCAGATGCTCAAGTGATCCAGTAATCAATAGACAGCATCCTGAGTGGTTCTACTGAACCTGAAGCAATTACTTGCAGTAATATATCCAAAAGCTCAGGCAAAAAGTGTTTGGCAGATCAGAGCTTAGGATAAAATAGGTGGGGGGAATGAAGGTACAAAAGTAATGTTAAAATGTAAAAATCTTTTTCTTTTTTTTTTTTGAAGGAGGTCCCCTTATGGTTGCATCCCAAAAATTCTGTATACAGAAATACAAATCCTGCTGCACCCTGCACTCATTCATGGTACCCTAGGCTTTACCCTAGGCTGCCTGGTGAGGTTAGGGGACGACACTAATGTTTGAGGGATGGCGGTCAGGTTTAGGAGATGGTGGTGATAGAGCCGCTCAACAGAAAAAGAAAAAAAAAGGAGAGGAAGAAAAGAAAAAAGGAAAAAAAAAGAAAAAAAAAAGGAGTTGGGGAAGACAGGCTGAGAATATGGGCTTGTTCAGCTTGGACAAGGGAAGAGTCCAGGGAGACATTAGAGTGGCTTCCAGTGCCTAAAGTGGCTGACAAGAGATCTGGAGAGGGGCTTTTTACAAGGGCACGTAGTGATAGGACAAGGGGGAATGGCTTCAAGCTGGAAGAGGTTAGATTTAGATTAGACATAAGGAAGAAATTCTTTACTGTGAGGGTGGTGAGGCACTGGAACAGGCTGCCCAGAGAAGCTGTGGCTGCTCCATCCCTGGCAGTGTTCACAGAGCTTTGAACAACCTGGTCTAGTGGAAGGTGTCCCTGCCTATGGCAGAGGGGTTGGAATGAGATGATCTTTACGGTCCCTTCAAACCCAAACGATTCTGTGAAGACAATAGAAAAAAATTAAAAGGGAAAAGGGCAAAACAAGAAAAGGGAAAAGATGAGAAGGAAAAGAGGAGAAGGAAAAAAAGGTGCAAAAGGTAAGGAGAAAAGGGGGAGGAAACCGAGACAAATAAAAACTCTGTGCGCGGAAGAACTGAGCCCCACGTTTCGGGAGGGGGGGTGTCAGTGTGCGCTGACCCGTCACCCCCGAGGGGCGGGAGGCGGGGCGTATGGGGGGCGTGCCCGGGGGTGGGGTATTCTCTTCTCCCGCGCCGCAGCCGCCTGCGCCTGGCCGTAGAGATTGAGAGCCGCCGCCATGGGGGTGGAAGGTTGCACCAAGTGTATCAAATACCTCCTCTTCGTCTTCAACTTCATCTTCTGGGTGAGCGCCGGGGCGGCGGCTGAGCCGCCGCAGAGCTTGCAATAGCGGGGCTCCAATATGGCTTTTCTGCCTGCGCTTGGTTTTACCCTCTGTCCCGCTCCCCCACCATTAAGGCTTACTGCCTGGGATAGATCTTAAGGGTTGCTTTTTCGGGGAGTGGGGGGTGTGTGTGTTTATTCTTTGCTTTTTTTTAATGCACGTGTATATATATATTTATTTGCACATGTTTATCTATGTGTTTTTTCTATATAGGTACATATATAGGTATAGAATCATAGAATCGTTTAGGCTGGCAAAGACCTTTAAGGTGCTCGGGTCCAGCCGTTAGATGTGTTTGTACGCATCCGTTCGGAGCGGAAGGGTGGGGGGTGCTGCGCGGGGACCGAGCTGGGGTGGGGCGGGTTGGAGCGGAGCGGGGGGGTGCAGCGGGCCGACATCCCCCCAGGTCCGCTGGTCCCAGGCTCCTCTGGCTGGGAGCTGCGGTGGGAAAGCCGGGATGCAGCGGTGGAGGCAGGGATGGGCAGGATGGATACTGCCAGGCGGAGGGAGGGGAGGCGCTGGCCCAGTCTTGCCTGCAGAGGAGCCGGAGAGGAGAAGGTGTTCCGAAACCACGGGGCTGGTTTTACTCCCCCCAGCCCGAGAGCTGGCAGTGAGTGTATCTGGGTAGGTGGTCCTGGCACCGTGTCGGGAGCTGGCTTTGACACCCGCGTGTGGATGGTGCCCAAGCTGGGGACTGCTGCCCCTGCGGCCTGGGAAGTTATTTTAGGGTGCAGATTTTGCCCAGGCTGGAGAGCTGTCCTTCACTGAGAAAGTTTCTAATGAAATAATCCATCCAGACATGCGGGTGATTTAGCAAAAAGCAGCATACCCCCGTTTTCTCGCAAACCAGGTTTTCCCTGGTTAGAAAAACCCTCCGGCAGCCGGGGCTGGTGTGGCAAGAAACGCTCCGTGCCTGCTCCAGCGCCCGCAGCAGCACAGTGTGCCCAAGCAGGCTGCTTTTTTCTGTTTCTGGGTGGTTTTGTTTTTTTTTTTTTCTGGATAGGCTGTTTTCCATTCCCCAAAATGCTGTTTTTCTTGCAAGCAAGCCCAGCCCCACCCCACGGACGCAAGGCACAGCTTGCTGAGCGCTGGCTGCGTGGTCAGGATGTGGCCCGTGTCAACACCCTTCTTTGTCGAGAGGGAATTTGGATGTTTTCTTAATCTTTGCTCGCAGCAGTGAAGACAGAGAGGAGGGCTGGAGAGGTGGGGATAGGATCAGTGCCTTCCAGAGCAAGCCGTCCCTTAGCATGGGGAGTACTGTGCCCAGCAGAAGCCTCTGCCTGTTGCCTTCTTCCCGGGGTGCACGGTGAAGCTGTTGGGTGGTTCCCACCTGTGGGAGGTGCAGGGCTTAACTACTGTATGGGAGTGAGTACTGCCAAATCTGGCCTGATTTCAGGCCTCCTCGCCTTGTTTCTGGGTATAGTGCTGACCAGGGGAGAGATGACGAGCTCTGACGACGGTGGTGTTAATTGATACCCGATGCATTGCCAGCTGCAAGATGAATGTGGGACAGACCTGGGAGTTTATTTTAACCTTTTCCTCCACCTTTAAAATGGCAGGATGGAGGCGGGTAGGCTTTTCTCTGAAGTGTTGTACCTTCTGAGTTACCATTCTTATCCTGGGGATTCTTCTTCTCTTCTGGACCCAGTTTCCTGCCATTCTTGTTGCTGAAGCTGCCGGGTGGGTATGCGAGGGAGGAAGGGTCTCCTGGGTGGCAGGAAGGATGCTGGGGGCTCTGTACAGCTGCTGTTCCTGAGCAAGCTCACTTGCTCACCACAGTCTGTATTGACAAAACACCTTATCTTTCATAAATGGGCATCCTGCTTCCAACAGGAACAGCTGAGCTGTTTAAGTTCCCTGTTAGGACTTCTGGTGCCTTGCCCTACCCCTTGAAGGGAGCCTGATGCCTGTGGAAAGATGCTCCAGCTCCTCCCAAGGAGGGGTGCCTGTGAGCTGAGATCCACCAGCTCCCTAAACCACTCCCAGCACCGGGCTCCTCCATGGCCAGTCCCTCTTGGACCACCTCCTGTGCAATAAGAAACCTGGGCTTCATTTGAATTAACAGTGCTTTCTGCAGGGCTGGCCATCTGAAGGGTGGTTGAACACCCGGTCTTAGGGTTTTCAAGCCCTTCTGTGGTGTTTTGTAAGCCAGTAGTTGAGGGGAGTTTTAGGTTTACCACGAAGGGCACACGGTTAGCAGCCAACCTTGTGTGCCTGGGTCTGGAGGGATGCCTTGGTTGCCACCAAAGCGTGAATGTCCTTTTCACAGGATGGGATTTACAGGCTGGACATGGTCCTGAGCACCCTTGATGCAGGGTGGCTGTGGCAGGACGCCAGCGAGGTGCATGACTGGGCACTCGCAGCCCTGTGGCCTTGCCAACTGGCTAGCATGCAGAGGCTGCTGGGCACCACACATGCATGAGCTTATCGCATGCCTTGTGTCCAGTCAAGGTCGGGCACTGTTGATGAAAACAAGTGGGAGGCAGAGCCCAAAGTTTGGCAGGCATCACATCTGTGCTGCAGGGGACCTTGCTGCCGCGCCCAAGAGGAAGAAAGGAAGCAATTCCCAGCCTTAACGGTGTTAACAAATAAGGCAGAAACTCTGATAACTTTTTAAAGTAGCCCTGCTGTCTTGCTGGACTGTAAATAAACTGACACCCCTCTGGTTTCCTCGCAGTCCTTCCTCTGTCAGCACAGGGGGGTTCACAAAACTGCTGTGTTGAAAAGCAAGAGGAAAAGGCAGCCCTGCTGCCAGCTCCCCAGGGCACCTTGGCAGCCCTCTCTGCCTGGGATGATTTGGGTTTACTTTATTCTTTGGGGTTGTTTTTCCTTTGTGCATGCATTTTTGAGTAGAAGATGCCATGTGCTTGGTCCATAGTGGCTCTCGAGGAGGGAGCTGTACAGACCACACATACAGATGGGTGTGCATCCCAGGAGTGGACGTGGCCAAAGCAGGGCTGGGCTGGGAATGTGGCAAGTGGAGCTGCTTCTCCATCCCACACTTGGTAGACAGATGAACTTTTACTGCTTTCCTGAATTATCCAGGTCTGATGGCAGAGCTCAGTGCATGGGGCTGGACTGACCACTGCTGCAAAGAGTCCCTGGGGAGGATGAAGGAAGCCAGAGAGCTATTTTAAAATTTAATTAAGCATAACCAAGGAGAAATTGGCTTGCTTGGAGAAGGATCACCCAACTTATCGGCTAATACAGCCTATGGCAGCCTTCCAGCTCTAGAGCACTGCTGACTGCCCTACTAGAGAGGTGCCTAATTAAAAGGAAGAGCTTGCTCCTAATGCCATTTTCCAGGCACCACCTAACTCTTTTCTCTTGCTTGTATTGAGGGGATGTGGTGCAGTTGGGATGCAAAGAGGAGGAAGGGCAAGAGCAAAAGCAAGGTGGAAGTGAAAGTCTGTCTGGACAGTGGTGGTTGGAAGGGAAGGGATGGCAGACTTGAATACTTTCTGGTACAACACTGGAAAATCTCTTGGCTATCCCTTGGAGTCCACAAAGCATGCTAAAAGAAACTTGGCCCTAGTGATGAGAGGTGAGGGTGGAGGGAGGTGGCGGCTCTCTGTGGTGGTGGTGGTCCCGTGGTGACAACGCTGCTGAGTGGCTCTTGACCGTTCCAGTGTGATGAGGAGGGCAGCTGTGTACTGCTGTATGCAGGTTTAAACAGGGAATGGTGATTCATGTGGCATGCAGCTCTGAAGCAAATTAGCCTGCGTTTTGTTCTGGGTGCAGGCTTGTACTGAGCGCTGCTGATAGTGGCTACCAGGAGGCTCCACTGCAGAGTATGGGGCTTCTTTTGATTATTGGTCTCCCTGGGAATCGCAGTGCTTGGTGAGTGTCAAAGGTGTGATGCCAGCCCAGCATCTTCTTCCACGAACTTTGGGTTCAACATCCTGGGATGATGTACAAACAAGAATACTTCCACATGTGCTTCACCTGGCAGCTATTTAATGTCTGTCTTTGAAGGGCAAAGGAGAGGTTTTCTTTGCAGGCTGTCTACCTGGACCCAAGTTGAAAGAGCTGATGGCTCTCTGGGATTTTAGCAGGTCTTTTGAAGGGACCAGTGCCCTGGCCTGTGGGGGTACTCTATTTCAGTTAATGGGCTGGGCTGCCACTGGGAGGAGGGAAGATCGCTGGTGGGGGGAGATTGTTCTGTTTTCCTGAGGTTATTCTTCTGTCAACCACCCTAGTGCTTATCTCCTGCAAGAGTGTTAACCCATGTACAGTGCCTTGAGAAACACTTTGATCCTGTACTGTGCAAGTGTATCGTTAAAAAGAGGAAGCAGTTGTATTACCCTTGTAGTTAAATGCATATGTATTGGGCCAAATTGATTTTGAAGCAACACCTGAAACTGTTTTCCTCTCTGCTGAGAGCAATTAAAACCTGCTGGTAGATGTCAGCGTATAGCGATACTCCTGTCCACAGAAGGAATCAGGCTGTGGCAGGCAGGGAGCAGTCTGCAGGCTCACTGGAGGGCCCCACTCCTGGATTTTGGTTCCAGATTCCTGCTCTCCTCCCATCCATCAAGCTGTACTTGGCCTTTGGTGTGCTGCTCCTCGGGGAGTGTTCCTCTGGAGCTTGTTTTGAAAAGCCCCACAGTGTTGTGGGGCTGTTAACTTAGGCACCAGCAGAGAATTTCCCCCCGGCCAGCAGCTCTATTAATAGCCACTACTGAGAGGTGGTGGTGGCTGTGCTGCTGGGAGCAGAACCTTCCTCCTCCTGCTTGCAGAACACAGGTTTTTTTTCCCAAATGCCCATTCTGCGGTTCCTGGCCAGGCCTTGCCTGCAGACTTTCAGCCTGACTTTTTGTGGCCATCCAGTGCAGTTGCTGTGGAAGGCAGCAGAAATGACACGCCTGCACTTCCCAAGAAGAGCCCTGTCTGTTGGTGCAGATGGAGAGTGCTTGTGCCGAGCTTGGTGGAAAAGGTTTTACCTTGTGTGGCTGTCAAAG